CATGGGCAAATGGCAAGATGTAAATTGCGCAAAGAAAAATGCGTACATGTGTAAGCGTGTAGTAATGTGGTCGGACCAGCGTACCGAGCGTTTAATCAGGGACAATCGCCGGATGATAGACAAGTGGGTAGCGAGAATGACCCAAAACGAAGCCGAGTGTCATTTGCCGGTAGGTTTTATATATGTGCAGTTACCAAACCAGGTCGAACCCAGAGTATTGTGTCCTAAATCCACCTGGTTAGATGTGACGACCGAATATGCGAGCAATGAAGACAAAAACAGCCAGCCGAGTTTCCATGATCAATTTTTAAAGTTTATGGTCCCGGCGGGTGAGCTACGGCCCCGCAATCAGGCGGTTTGCATTTTTAAGCGTACCGCATAAAAAGCATGTGGATTATGGTTTAAACGAGTAAATATATGCACATATTTATTAAACAACAATGTGCAGTTTGGTTATTTAATTAATACAGTAGAAGCATTTTTATCCGGATTTGTTTCTGTTCAAAAATTACTAAAATATAATAAATAATTAGGTAATCAATCTATTATCATGTACGAACAACTTTAAATTTTAATATTTATTGCAATAAAACTTATAATACAACTGAATAAAAATAATTTAATATGATTAGTTTTTGCTTGGACAATATCTGTTATAGTAAGATTGCCAATATTTAATAAGCCTGTAACCAACCTGATTAATTTATTAAAAATTATATTTTGGGAATTTTTTTTCAAGTTTAACCAAAATATTTTACCATAATTTAACACACGTTTTAAATAAAAATATTGTTACAAGATATATTTGAATTTATAATTTGTTTATTGGTGTTCACTTTTAGTTATCCGATAATCGCATAAAGCATTATTCATAACATTAATTATATCAGAAACTAAATGTACCCTACAGAACAATATATTGCTCCTGAAGCACATCAGCGCCGCTACACAACCAAACCTGACATTTATAGTCGGGGAGTGATTGCACAGCATTTACTTTCAATTTTATAGATATATTTTTGCTACAATTAATTATAATAATTTTCATTTATCAATTTATTTGTTATTGTACATTTAATTAGAATAATAATACAAAATGACTTCTAATTATCTAATCTCTTACAATATCAATAATTATTTGAATAAGGCAAATAATAATTTGTTTTTACATTAATAAAATAATTGTAAAAGCAATAAAGTGTTAATGTTTTCTTTATTTTTTATAATGATAATTAGACTTCGGATAAATATGTCGTAAAAACATTTTAATTGTTGTAATTTTTAAAAAACGAGAGACTAGTGTTCGCTAAATACCCAACAATTAAAGCCCGATATTTAGGTTCGGGTTTTGAATAAAAAAGTCTTTTTTCGTGTAAAACCCATTTATTACTTAAAATGTCTAAAATTAAAGACATCTGAAAGAGATTAAATAATTTTGTATCAGAATTTAATTCTGTATTTTTATAAATTGTGAATCCATTATAAATTTATAATTCAGTAAATTTTTGGGGTTAAGTAAATACTGGGTTTTATTCATTCATTTAACGAACTCTAGTCTCGTATTTTTTTAAAAATTGCAACAATTAAAATGTTTTTACGACATATTTATCCGAGGTCTAATGATAATATACCGTAAAATCTTGTTCATTAATATTTAATGTACCAATAATTATGAAATGTTCATTATGGTCGTAAAAACTTGATAGTAAAATTATTGCTTATTATTTTTATTTGTTAGTTTGTTACGATTCTTACGACCAGTATTTGACTGATTGGTGTTATTCTGAGTCTTATTTAGTCTTAAGTTAAGGACAGGTATACTATCGACGTCTCAAATCTCAGTCATCATTACTTTGACAGACACAACAAACTAAATCACAAGTTGTGATTCACAACCCATATTATTAACAGTAGACATATTATTTATCAGGTAATAAATTTCATAATATGTTAGATAATAATAATGATAACTATAAATAGTTATGCGTAAACAAAGTACTCAAAAAAAAGATCAACGCGAATTATAATTTTATTAAAATAATAATGATTAATTTTATAATTTTATTTAATATCTATTAAACAAAATAATAAACATAATTATATTAACAATCATAATATAATTATATTATATTATTATTTAATATTTACAATTTTGAATATTTGTGCTTATTTATTAACAAAAATGATTTATAAAATTTACTAAATTTCAAAATGAAACAATTATTAATATTATAACACTGTAAATAGCAATTAAATAGATTCATTTTACATGTCAATTCAATGACATAATATTTTAATTTGACAATTATACATTTTATCTCAAATAATAAAAAGTAAATATTGTCAGAATATCATGAATTTTATTTATCATTTTTAATAACCCTTTGAGATGTTGTAATGCAATTAATTTAATAAATTGTTGACTAGACTTGTAACATCTGTCAAATTGTGATCATCATATAATATGAATTTAATATTTATGATAAATAAATAGTATAAATACGATATATAAAAACACAATTATTATTATTATTTCAATAACTATTTTATATTCAAAAAAAATTATTGAAAATAAAAAATGTATATGATATATTTAGCAATTGTAGTTTCATATCTTACATGTATGCATACATTTTATTAAATAACTATTATAATAACAAATTATATTAAAATTGTATCCTATTAATGTGACTATTTACCATAATTGCTTAGGTTACCTAGTTCATTCAGAGGGCGTTTGTGGTGATGGTTGGGACCTCTTTCACCACGAAAACGACAATATATGCTACAAATACTACCCTGATGGTTTGGGGGACTATCACACAGTGGCCACAGCGTGTAAGGGTGACCTAAACTCGTCGCTACCTATAATTAATTCTCAGGCAGAGCAGGACTTTTTCAATAAATTGATAGTAAAATATAAAATGATTGAAAACGTATGGCTCGACGCAAGCATTAAAGGCAAACACATTGTATGGACGGACAATAGTAACGCTGACTATGAAAACTGGTTGGCCGGGCGGCCGGCCAACGAAAGCAACTGTGTGGAAATGTTGCCTGACCAGGTGAGCATGGGCAAGTGGGAAGATATATCATGCGCCAAGAAAAATTCTTACATATGCAAGCGTTTTGTGGCATGGTCGAGTGAACAAATGGAGCGTGTGATCAGAGAAAACAGTGTCCAAATTACACTTTTACAGAACTGTCCATTGCCCATAGGTTTTATATACGTACAGTTGCCGGGTCAGGCCGATCCGAAAACATTGTGGCCAAAGTCCACCTGGTACGATGTGACATCCGCATATGCGGGTCAATTTTTTCGCGCAGAAGGTGGTGATAGCTTAGCATTTGGCGCCGGAGTGCAGCCTGGTGACGCGCCCAAATTGGAGCATGTTCATGCTGAATATAATGATGGGATGAATCGTGATATTGATATTTCTCCAGGAGTTTATAGTCAATGGTTATATACAGGTGACAATGCTGGTTTAATAGGGCACCGACAATCTCTTACAATGTTGGTGTCATCCGTTGAAGTGCGGCCCCGTAATCAAGCCGTGCGCCTTTTCAAACGCGATAAGTAACTTTGAATTTAGCACCGAATAAATAAATTTTTTAATAGTTTATTGACTTTGGGTTCATCTAAAAATTGTGATATACTTTTATAATTAATATGTGATATCATGTTTTATTGTCTAAATTGATTTCAAATAAATTCATTTAAGTTTGCATTTTATTTTAATAATTTTATTTAATACAATAGATGTATTTTTGTACGGACCTGTTTCTGTTTAATAATTACCGAAATATAATAAATAATTGGGTAATTAATCTATTATTATGTACGAAAAACTTATAAATTTGGAATTTATTGTAAAAAAGTACCGATTAAAATTATTTAATATGATTAGTTTTTGCTTGGGCAATATCTGTTATACTGTAGTAAGATTGTTAATAGTCAATAAGTCTATAACCAACATGATATCAGAAATCGATTATAAACAGAAATCAATAATAATTAGAAATCGGAATTATTTTTTAAAGTTTAACCCAAAATATTTCACTATAATTTAACACATGTTTTAAATAAAAATATTTTTACAAGACATATTTGAATTTATAATTTATTTATTGTTATTCACTTTTTGTTATCCGATAATCTCATAGAGCAGTATTCATAAGTTATGATTACTTACTTATGAATCATAACATCAATTATAGCAGGAACTAAATATACATCACTTATCAATATATTGCTCCCGAAGCACAGCAGCGCCGGTACACAACTAATGCTGACATTTATAGCCTGGGAGTGATTGCATAGCATTTACTTTTAATTTTATAAATATATTTTTGCTTCAATTAATTATAATAATTTTCATTTACATGAATTCAAGTAGCTGTTTGTTTATGTACAAATCATTGATGGTAAATGAATTATAATAATAGGGTTAACAGGTATTGAATTGTTTCACAAATCGCGACA